CCGCTGGAGGATCGTAGGTGTTCGTCCATGGAGACCTGAAAACCAAGTCAATAATCCTGCTGCTCGTTCAAAAGCAAAGTATAGTCAAGGTAAGTCCGTGTACAAAAATAGGAAGTTGGGCTACTCAACTACAATTTACAGGGTAGTAAGTGATTCAGTACCGAAGAAAAAAATTAGAAGAAAACTTGCTAAAAATGCGCAATATGGGACCCTGTGCTGAACGTCGCTTGTAAGCGCATAAGGCGAAGAAGGGGCGGGTTATACGAACTCTCACTTGTGAGACAGCTCTTTCTCCTTATCACCCCATCCTCACCATTCGAAATAGGGGTACTTAATGCGGAACAACCGCACCATCAGCTAGGAGTTGAAAATGAAAGCTGAGTGTTGCCGTGGTCAGTAGGGCGGGCCGTGGTTCCGTCGCGAGCGAGCGGCGCTTTCCTCACCTAGTTTTGAGCTGCGAAACTAGTAGAACGAACCTTCACCCTCGCAGGGAGGACTACTATGCTCGAAGAAGGCGCTTATTATCAAACAAATGAACGCTGAGCGTGCTCTCGAAGAAAAGCAGTTACCCTCTGAGAACTGAGCTCTTCCACAAGTTTCAGACTTAAGCAACTAATTGCGCGCGATCAATGGAAAAAGCGGAAAAGGCAAAAATATCGCAAAGGTGCGAGCAGCTCAAATGCTTAACATACACGCATAAAAGGAAGAGGGGAAGGGGTGTTCTCGGCCTTTGGTCCTGCCCTGCTCAACCGATAACCTGCCTTGCTAGTCCCTTATCAAGCTTTGCTGCGCAGGCTGCGAGGGGGGGGCATTTTGCACTTTCACTGCTTCATTACATTCCGCTTTACAAGTCTCACTCTGGTGGAACTTGAGAACTATTAAGAAAATGGAGCAAGCTCGTGGTAAAACATGCAACTCAAGAAAAGGCTATTTAGACAGCATAGACAGCAGGACGGCACAGCGATGGGAAGCAAAATGCCCCCCCCTCGCCGAACAGCGCCCGCCTTGCAGGGAGGGTAAAGTTGGCAATTATATGCTGCAAAAAAAAATCAGTAACTTCATTCCCACAGCAAGGCAGAATGAGGGATAGCAGGCCTAGACACATGGGAACAGACAGGACACGATTTACAGTCAAAGTTCCAACCCTTTCTCCCTTGGCATTTTGGTCCAGCGTCTAAGCTTCAGCCTAGGGCTACGCAACGGATTACCTGTAGCTATCTCCATCTCTGCCTTGCTCGCACAAGAGGTACTCT